AGATATGCAGAAAAGAAAAAAAACTGTAGTCAAGTGTATTTATTGGAAAGTAAAAGGATTGAAACTAAAATAATTAAAGATTTCCACCAAGAGGCCACAAAAACTCAATCATATTCAAAGTTATGTTTCTTTCCTTGACTTTTTTCAAACTATCTCCAGTGAAATAAGTCACCAAAGCTAACTAATCTAAATACTTCATAAATACCTCTCTGCTTTCACATCCCTTCTCATCCTACTGAAACTTCCTTGTGTAGACATTTCTTTTTCACAGACTTTACTGAAAGAAACTTACAATTGGCTTCTTGGTCACCAATTTTTACCTATTCTAAAATAATCTCCAAAGTTTCCCCAGAAAAATCTATGAAAAAATTTAAAGGACCTGAGAGAAGACTAGAACTAGAGAGCTATTTCAAAACCACATACTTAGAATTGGGAATAAATTAGATGTATGTGTCTACTCTGAACAGAATTTTAATGCAAGAAGTCAACAGGATTTTTAGATGAAATCTGACATAAGAATAGCTATTTTTGAAAAGAACAATGAGTGAACACTTGTTCTACTAGCAAAGCAGAATGATTGAAACAGCATGGTATCCTTGTAGAAATATAAATATAGATCAGTTTTTATTTGATCAAACTGAGTCCATATGGATATAAAAGTATAATTAGAAATGTAATATATAATAAACATGGCATTTCAAATCAGTGGGTAAGATTGAATCATTAAGTAATCTTTATGGAGATAGTTGACTATCTAATTAGAAAAAATGGAATCCAAACACTTAGCTCATATCATTCATAAGAATAAATTCCAGATGGCTACAGAGCTAATTTTTAGGAAAGGTATACATAATATATATTCATTTAAAAGAAAGGTAGGTCTATTTGCAGGGATACTATGTATCACTTTGAAGTATTGCTTTATGAAAATGATTCCTGGCCAGGGGTATAAATGAACATGATGCCCAGTATTGCCTCTGTTTGTTAAATTTTGTGTCGTATTTCAGAAGAGGAGGCTTTTCCTAAGTTGTCCATGTGAAATAGGGACTTCTGTGTACACTGTTGCCACAGGATGTCACCTTTTCTAATTGGAACAAAGACTTTATATGCTATCAGCAATAAATAATTGTTAATAGTAAGTAGGCAATTTGTACATTGCAAGTGCTTTAAAAAGTAACACATGAATGACCCCCCCCCCATTTGTATATTGTCCGTCTTATCCCCAGTGTTATGGTATTTGGAGAGGAGGCGTTTGGGAAAGGCAGGGGCCCTCAGGAGGGAATTAGTGCCCTTATAAGAAAAGATACGGCCAGGGATTTAGCTCAGTGGTTCCACTGCCTCACAAGCGCAAGGACTCGAGTTCGATCCCCAGTACCAAAAAAAAAAAAAAAAAAAAAAATTAGAGCAATGGGTTCTGGAGAAGAGATTCCATGAATGCAGTAGTAAAGAAACAACTTGCTTTAATTTAAATGTTTTAATTTTTATAAGAATGCCTTCACTGTTTCATGTTCTACATTAAAATACTTTAAAAGTCCAAGTATTTTCAGAAAAAAAATTATGGTAGAGACATCACATGTTGTACAAAGGTCAATTGATAGGAATCATTTATATTTAATGAATACTCATTATGTCCCAAGCAATATGTTACATTCAACATCTCATTTGATCCTTGTGATAATCCTATGAGTATATAGTAGACAGTATTTATAACTTTATTGTACAAACAAGGAAACTGAAGCACTGAGACATTAAATAACTTTTCCACATATCTAGAGAATAGAGCTAGAATCCTAATGTCAACAGTCTAGTTCTAGAGCCTTCCTTCTTAAGCTCAATAACATCTTGAGAAACGAAAATAGGGTTTTAGGAAATTAGGAGGTTAGTGGAAACTTTGTCAGAAACAATTTCAATAAAATTAAAAGAAATGTTGAAATAACTGAGAAATAAAGCATAATTAAAACAAATTGCTATATCTTTTTATTATGTTGAACCACATGAAACTGCTAATATGCAACACTCTTTCACCCACAAAAGGAGATTTTTATATTGTTCAACTATCAGATCATTTATGAATGTTATTTTTAGGAATCTTAATCTTAAAAATACAAAGGAGAAAGTAAGCGACAAAAATTTTCAAATCCTCAAGGCTATGTGTGTGTACCCTGAAGACAGAGCTAGAAAATATTTCAAACTTTTTTACTTTGACATAAAAATATGCTTACAGTTAAAATAGCAAACACAATTTTTGTGAATTGTATTTCACTATGACAGGGAACTGTTTTAACCAGTCAACCAAATTTCTTAGTGCCAAGATGGCTACAAAAGAACACAATTTCTGGTTATTGTCAGACGGAAAAGCTATCAGCATTTTTTATGAGTTGAACTCCATCTCCCTTAATCACAGAAAAAGGATTATACTTCTATTTACAATATCACAATTTTTCTGAAAATTATTCCTTGGATATATCCTGATATCTTAACAACTTTCCTCACTGATTTCCCATTGGCATGCTGGCACTGGACCCATACTTATGTGACTCTGAAGTACTTCATCAGAGGACTTGCACATAATAAATCACTGATCCTTAAAAGCTGATTAACTCATTTAGCCTTCAGATGTTATCCAGTTCAATTTCCCAGAGCACAAAACAGAGCCTTATGGAGATTAAATGATCTGACTTTCTCAAGGTCATATACTATCCAAAGAAGAGTTAAGAATAAAACTCTATGGAACCTAGTCCTTAGTACTTTTTGCTATGCTGTAATGGCTATTTTTTCCCTGTTATGTAATGCAGATTAATCTGATTTTCTTTTTCTTCTTTTCAACTGAAGTTCTGAATCAGCTAATCTTGATAATTACTGGGACAGGAAGCAAAAGACAGAAATGAGTCTTTAATCAAAGAAGCTCCCTGCTATGAGAGATGATTCTATTAGAAGCATGTCTCCTAATGTTGGGACTCCACATCTGTTCTGTTCTTCCCACCTCTTTTAATTCCTTTGTCTTTCTTTGCTTTTCCTAGAATCGTTTTAGACTGGCACTTTGACCAATGCTTTTGCCTTGCCCTTTAGTATTTAGCTGTTTGGGGCTCCTCTACTTCCTTGTTTCTGAACCACAGCATGGCCCATCTTCTAGAATCCATGTGGATACTGGATTGTACTTGTTTGTCTGGCTACTCTTCATTGCTTGCTTGACCTCCTGACCCTGAGCCTTCTTTTCACTGTATTTTTGTTCTCTTAGCAGAAGATGATACTCAACTCTATAGTCCCAAGCTGCATGGGAAATAATGTGATTTTCATCTAGAATATCCTTAGGAATAACTAGCATTTATCTCTAACTTCAGATTGACTCTGAAATCTTGGTCACTAGAATTTCAAATAACTGTCACCACGGTCACAAAGGACACTTTCTAGATATGAGTGAAAATTGAGTATAAAATGGTTATGCATTCCAAAGTTATATAGGTCTGAAGGGTAATTTTATAATAGGCTTTATTTTTTTAGAGCAGTTTTAGTTTCACTCCAAAATTAAACAGAAAATATTGAGAGTCCTAGGCAATATTCTCATAGTGACTTAGATAAATACATGCAAGATGCCCACCACTTAAAAGAAACTTACTATATGTGGTCTATGTTATGAAATGAGAAATGTGAAAAGATGACTAGAGAGCTAGTTAAACCAGATGACTACCCAAGTTATCAACTTATTATCTTTCAGCTCTACATGCACCCTTCGTTATCTGCTGTGGGAAAATGGAGCTGGATTCCCCATATCTCCTTGAAGCTAGGAAAATATTTAGTTGTGTCAGAAAAGGGAAAGAACACTACAGAATTTTAGTTGCTGTCACCACACAGTGGCCATCAGTGCCTATCAGGGATAATCAGTGTCGTGTTTGTCCTTGACACTCCAGTAGCATCCTCATGATCATTCCCCATCAACTTTCAGAGGTGGTGTCATGAACAGATTTCCATTGAGTCTTGCAAGCCTACCAATGGTCAGCTCCAACTCTGGCCTGCCTGGACTCAAGTGAGGTACTTCCTGCTTGATCAGTGTCTATGGACTAGCTCTAGTTTAACCCACTCAAGCACTTCTCCACCACAAAATGGGCCATAACCATGGCTTCTACAATGAATTCTGAATCTCAACCAAGGGAGAAGGGCCAAAATGCAAACTTCTTTCTTCCTTGAGAAGTCTCTTCCAGCCCTAAGGTATTCCTTAGAGTCCTCTTTATCACTTTATATAACAGGCATTTCTTGATACAGTTTATAATTCTCAATACTAAGCTTTTCCTGTTCAAATTACTATGTTGTCTGTGTTTTCTGTTTGTCCCTGATACAGTAATCTCGGAAAAATAATTTTAATCTTTTAGTGTACTCATACAAAAAATGAGGAGATTTTTGTTAGTTGATCTCAAATGTCCTTTCCAGTTCTAAAATTATGTGAATCTAGGAAATTTTTCCTAATTGAGGTGGCTAAATATATTATGAGTAACACTCAACTCTGAATAATTGCGTATTTCTCCCCCAGCCTCAGCCACAGGAAATGAAATTTTCTTCCTATAAGAATAAAGGTCCAGGTCAAAATATTAAGTCACAGAAGCAGCCAGTATCACTTCATGCACACAGTGGGCAATCAGATATTATAAAACCCTCTGTAAGACCTTTTATGGGAAGCTATCTAAGGAACAAAATGGAAAACTAGAAGTTTGGGTATGAAAATGAGTGTTTAGCTGGGTGTGGTGGCACACGCCTGGATTCCCAGCTCTCAGGAGGAAGAGGCAAGAGGATTGCTGAGAGTTTGAGGCCAGCCTGAACTACAAAGAGAGACCCTATCTCAAAAAAAAAGAAAAGAAAATAGAGTTTAAAATACATTATAGAAATTATTTTACCCATTTGAGAATATAAATATTGAATGGATACATTAAGTATAAAAATGGTCCCTCTGATATTGTTTATCCTAACACATTACAGAAGACCCCATTCATAACCTCCAAATCTTTTACCTTTCTCTGTCTTTTACTGACTGTTCAGCCATTAATTTCTTCAGTTCTTCTAGGCGCTGAAGATCTCTCATTTCCATTTCTTGCCATTTCTGCTCTTTCATAGCCCAGTATTTTCTTATCTATTGCATAAATGTTACATAAAATTTAAATTAACAACAGATAAAAACAAGGGAGAAAGCTATAACGTATCTATTGGTTCATATAGCAAAGATTGAATTTAAATGGCATTTTATCTTTTTTATTTTATAACTGCCTATCATACATTGGCAACAGAAAAAATAAATTAAAACACAGAGGTACGTGTCCTGAGCAACTTCATGGTTTAACAGTTTCTGAAGTGGATATGTAACTTGTGCTGAATCCCAAGGTTTTAATATATGGCTAAAATAATTGACTTTCAGGGAACCACAATAAAAGCATGTCATTGCCTCTGAAGTGTATGATCTACCTGTTACTCAGTAATATTTTTATCTTCTTATGGTAATGCAGTCTATAACAAATATAGCACTGAAACTATTTTTACTTTAAAAGCATGAGTTTATTTATGCTAATGGACAGCAGGATATTGAAAGTTTTATGTTTCTGGGGAAGTGGCAGGAGATAGGTGGGAGGAAGGAGGAAAAGAACAAATTAGTAAGGTTTGTGGTATATAGTCGACCTGACTTACACTGTAAAATAAAGGTCAAGTTTATCAAGTTCAAAGAGGTGAAAGTATTGTTCTTCCCAGGTCTGTTTTACTTCTCCCCTCTGGAAATGTAGGCAAAATAAGAAGATTGAGATAGATAGGTACCGTTTTCAGGGGGACTGAAACCACTATGCAAGATTCTCTGTTGTGCCGAGGCAATGGATGTTGATGTTTAGTTGTCAGAGGCCCATTCTACACTCTGGCTGACTCTATCATATCTGTGTAGACAGAGTGGGTCTTGCAGGTAAAAGACAGAGTAAGACCTCACTGGTGAACACCAGCAAGTGATGGGCAACAGAGAGAATGTCAGAGAGGCTGGGTTATCCTCATCCCCAATGTGGCATCTCCTCTTCTGAGAGGTAGGTATGAAAAGCTAAGTGGTTTCCTGACTTGCCTCCAAACATGGCCTCTGATTCCTATGAGGTCCATAAGAAGTATCCTAAGTTCCTGGCCATGGCTGTACCCTCTGGAGGCACAGAGTGACATCACTTCAATGCTCAGTGTCCAGGGATGTCCACTCCAGAGATGACTGAAGTCTGAGCTTAGGAAGAACTGAGAGGAAGCTAGACAGGAGAATGTGAGAGATGGTATTGATGGGAGAGAGAAGAAACATTGCTAGACAAGGTGTTTTCAGGAGTCCTAACTAATAAATTCCAGGAATTCTATTTATATCAGATATTTGTTAACCATGGCTATATTTCTCCATTAGGAGATTATAAGGAATCTCTATTCTTTAAGCTTTTCTGTATTACTACATATATAATATATTATATATATATTTCAATGAGTATCTTTCATTATCAGAAAGAAATCTACTTCAAAACTTAATTTTTTTAAAAAAATAGATATTGAATTGAAGAACTTTTTCTCTGGATTGCAAGAGACCAATAACATTCACTTAGTCCCACAATTGGCCTTGGGAAAAGTCACTGGTCCTGTTGCAAACAATCTTTTGACTATAAGCTAACAGGCATCAGGTTGCTGGGAGTTTTGGGAATCACAGGACCAATTATTCCTATTCTTTACTCTCTGGTACCCTTAGCTGTTGCTGTAATGTGATCTTTCTCCTCTCCCTTCTGCCCTTCCCCTCTCCCCTCTGCCCTTCCCCTCTCCCCTCCTCCCTCCCTTCCCCCTCTCTCTTTCCCCTCCTTCTCTATTTACTATTTCCCAGTACTTTCAACCAGGCACTCTGGTGGCTGTCATCATCTATAAAATCCCTTACATCTTCAGCCTATACAACATTATTTCCTTGTTTTCACTGAAATTCCTCTGAGTGAAAGATGACCATATTCTGATCCCTCTGGTATCATAGGACTGAGAAATGGTTCAGACATTTTTCTCATTATTAACTGTTATCTTAAGATTACTAACATATCCCTCTCATGTACTATTCCAGCTCCCTTTGATGTTTACACTATCTGGATATGTTACCCTTATCACTGGCCTCTATGGATTTCCAGACCACTTCTAAATACTTATCAAGAATTCAGATATCTCTCTCACATTGCCTCCTGCTTCTGGTCACACTGCTTTCTCCAGCATTTCTATGTGTAGGTGAATGAACACAGAACAAAAAGGAGACCCCAGACTATTGAAGTGCAGGCCATGGCAGCTGGCTGCCAATGTGGCCTGAATACTGGGAACTCGCATTTGACAGATGAGAAGATGGTGAGCACTAAGGGGAGTTGAATTTTTTGGGAGTGATATTTACTGAGCAGAAATTGGTAAGAGAGCCACACCCAGTGCCAAGGAGCAGAGCCACTCCCAGTGCTGAGGCAAGTTTTCTGGGCAGCCATACCACTGCCACCAGCACCAAGGAGCAGAGCCACACCAAGCACTGAGGAGGAGCCTTCCAGGCCACCGTACCTCCATTGCCAGTGCCCAGGAGCAGAGGCACATCCAGTGCTGAAGAGCTGACCCGTGCAGGCATCAGCAGCACACTCCATTCCTCCCCAACAAACCCACCCCCAGCAGAAATGAGAAGACAAGTAAACAAAACTCAAAACCAGACTCCTAGATCACCTAAAGCAACCCCAAAGGGAAACAAGATGGAACAATCTGATACTCAACCACCTGGACTCCCTGAACTGGCAACAAAAATGGACCTGGAAAAAATGAAATCAGAAATAATTCTCACATAATAGCAGAGATGGTGCCCATAGTGCAAGACACGATTAATAAATCTACAGGGGACACAGATTAAAAAATAGAGGAGCTGAGGAACATGATGGAATCTCAACATAGGAAACAAATGGAATTCATAAAACAGATGCAAATAGATTTCCAAGAGATTAAAAACTCCATTGAAAGTTTATGCAGCAGAATGAGCCAATGTGAGGACAGAATTGCAGATATAGAACATAACATTGAAATTAGTGACCACGAAAAGAAAAATCTCTTTAAAATACTAAGGGACCAAGAGAAATCAATCCAGCAGCTGCTAGACGATGCAAAGAAGAGTAACATAAGACTGATCTGAGTCAATGAAGAAACAGGAGAGAGTGCAGATCACATAAAAAAATGTTCACAAAAGTAATGGCAGAAAACTTTCCAAGGGGAAAAGAACTTGACATACAGATAAGTGAGGCATATAGCACTCCAATTAGCCTTGATCAAAAAAATCTACACATAGACATATAATAGTTAAGATTCCAGAAACTCAACAGAAGAACAGAATCCTACAAGCAGTTAGAAAAAAGAAACAAATCATATACAAAGGAAAGCCCATCAGAATCACAGACTTCTCAACACAAACCCTCAAGGCAAGAAGAGCTTGGAGTGACATATTCCAAGCCCTAAAGGAAAACAGCCTCCAATCCAGATTGATGTACCATGCAAAAGTATCTTTCAAAATTGATGGAGACACACCAGCCTCCAGCTTGGCCATGCGATCGGGCAGAGCAGGGGCGGGCTGAGTACACCCTGCACAGTTGGGCTCACTCCACCCACTTTCAACCAGGAGACCTAGCTGGAGACCTACCCAGTGAGGACCCCCAGGCACACCCACCAGCCTCCAGCTTGGCCACGTGGGTGCCTGCAACAACAGGGCCCCTGCTCCACCTCTTGGCTATAGCTACTTGGATCCACTCTAGAGAGGCACAGGGGAGCATAAAGGCCATTGCCCAGAGCTGCAGAAGTGAAAAAACAGAGAGGGCCTCTCTCAGGCTCCCTGATGAAAACTGAAGCCCACTGGAAAAGTGAAGAGAATCTCTGCAGTAAAGGCACACAAGACCACCATGCTTGGTAAGTTGGAAGGATCATCACCTCCCATCAGAACCTGGACTATCTTCAAAGGAAAGGCAGCTGGAACCTGCAGTAGAACCTTGCAGAATTCAACCCTGCAGGAGGACAGAGAGCTCAACTTGGGCCTTCCAGCCAGAAATCTTCCTGAATCTCATGAGTCTGTGACTGGCCTACTGAGGCCCATTGACTTATAACTGCACACTGCTGTCCACATTGTCTATTGTGATAGCAGAGACATACCCCGAAGGAGGCCCTTCATTTTTATCTTTTATTTGTTATTTTCAAAATTACCACCATTGTTTTTGCTCTTATTTTTAATTTTTTTCCTCTTTGCTACTCTTTTAAATTTTTTATTTTTCTCTTTTTTCTTTCTTTTCTCTTTTCTTTCTCT